ATACAGGATTTATATAGCGCCAATAGTTTGCTCAGCACTTTACAATATAAAGGGAGACAATACAGCAACAATACAGTTCAATACAAGAGGGATAGGAGGGCCCTGCGTTTATTTTGAGGGCCCATTCACACCTCTACATTGCAGTAACGTGTAACCGCAGTGCCAGTTAGGCCCTGTGAGCGATTTGGAGTCGCGGGCAGGACTGGCGCAATTTTGCCTGTGTTTCCAAATTGCAGTAGGACCTGCAACGTGCGTTTGGATGCTGTTTATTCTTAATAGCACACTCCGAGCGCAATGCGATTTTTTACTGCGATTGCTGCGTGACAAAACACAGGTAAAAAAAGGCATCTGGTTTGGTCTTTGACCTGATTTTGACGCAACAAAAGGGCATCGAGCTGCCACTTCAAGTGAATAGGCTGGCCTATGTGCGACACATGGAGACGCATGTAAATCACGCAAAGAAAGATGTGAGCAAGAACACGCGTTCCTGCTACACGAAGTGTGAACGGGGTCTTATTTTGAACAGTTTTTCAATGCACCTGCATTGTAGTAAACTGCAACATGCAATACCACTAGAAAAAGGGTATTTGGTATCTCTAAATGGTATGCAAACTCTAACAATGTCTCTAATTTACTCCATTGGTCCGTTAAATATATATAGTAAGTGTTTTATGATTTTGTTTGGCTAATGCAAAAAAAAAAAAAAAGTATGTTCATCAAGAAATCTTCTGCAAAGCCAGAGTACAGGAAGGTTGCATTGTTCCATGCTATCGCTGTGGACTACAAAGCACCTCCCCTGAGTTAGGAGAAGAGAGGGAGCTGTTATGTAGTCCCAACACAGTGTTATGTAGTCTAAAAACACTCCGTGTCCTAGAGCAGGGGTCTTCAAACCTTCTAAACAAAGGGTCAGTTTACTGTGCTTCAGACTTTCGGGGCCCCGTGCTGTAGGCAGTGGGAGTAGAAAATGTCCCATCTATGTTATAAGGGGAAATATTAGTGTCCCATCATTGGTGTCAGTGGGAGGAATAGTGCCCCATCACTGGTGTCAGTGGGAGGAATAGTGCCCCATCATTGGTATCAGTGGCAGGAATAGTGCCCCATCAATGGTGTCAGTGGGAGGAATAGTGCCCCATCATTGGTGTCAGTGGGAGGAATAGTGCTCCATCATTGGTATCAGTGGGAAAAATAGTGCCCCATTATTGGTATCAGTGGGAGGAATAGTGCCCCATCATTGGTTTTAATGGGAGGAATAGTGCCCCATCATTGGTGTCAGTGGGAAAAATAGTGCCCCATCATTGGTATCAGTGGGGGAGGAATAGTGCCCCATCATTGGTTTTAATGGGAGGAATAGTGCCCCATCATTGGTGTCAGTGGGAGGAATAGTGACCCATCATTGGTGTCAGTGGGAGGAATAGTGCCCCATCATTGGTTTTAGTGGGAGGAATAGTGCCCCATCATTGGTATCAGTGGGAGGAATAGTGCCCCATCATTGGTTTTAATGGGAGGAATAGTGCCCCATCATTGGTGTCAGTGGGAGGAATAGTGACCCATCATTGGTGTCAGTGGGAGGAATAGTGCCCCATCATTGGTTTTAGTGGGAGGAATAGTGCCCCATCATTGGTATCAGTGGGAGGAATAGTGCCCCATCATTGGTTTTAATGGGAGGAATAGTGCCCCATCATTGGTGTCAGTGGGAGGAATAGTGCCCCATCATTGGTTTTAGTGGGAAGAATAGTGCCCCACCATTGGTGTCAGTGGGAGGAATAGTGCCCCATCCTTGGTTTTAGTGGGAAGATTAGTGCCCCACTGGTGTCAGTGGGGGAATAGTGCCCCATCATTGGTGTCAGAAGAATAGTGCCCCATCATTGGTGTCAGTTGGAGGAATAGTGCCCCAGAATTGGTTTTAGTGGGAAGAATAGTGCCCCACCATTGGTGTCAGTTAGAAGAATAGTGTCCTATAATTGGTGCCAGTGGGAGGAATAATTCCTCAATGGCCAGATAAAGAAATGCAAAGAGCTGCATTCAGCCCCAGGGCCACAGTTTGGAGACCAATGTTCTAGAGTGACAACACTGCTCAGTACAGTTGTCACCGTAAGCAGGAAGTATGTTATTGGCAAGATTATCAGGTTAAAATAAAGGAAATAAATAGTGAAAAAAGAAAACTAATACAGCCACTCTGCCAGTAAGCTGCAATACTATCTATTTTATATTCCTGTGTTTAGACATGGTTCATGCAGGTTGTCTTGGCAGCTCATGTATTTATAATTATCATGTATATGCAATGCCCACAAAGATGTAAATGGGGCCAGAGAGCTGCTGGAATGGATTGGATCTATAGCTGTGCAATGTGTGTCCTGTGATCTGGGATGGACAGGGAAGGCACAGGAGGCATCCCATGGAATGACACCTCCAGCTGCTGCTGTGTACAGTTGTTGTTCCTGATCACACAGGAAGCGTCAGGCAGTTTGTAGAGAAGTGTGAATTGTCCATGTAAGAAGTCTGATCAAAGGGTAGAGGAGCAAGACCTCACAGGCCCAACACCTCCTCACCGAAACCAACACACCATGTCATCTCCTGCTGGATTTGTGTGTATACGCAACATGTCACACGTATGGGAATTGGCCTCGACTCACAATGACAGGAATCCCAGGCTGGGAGAGGAAAGGAGGCCGATACTTCTACAAAGGCTGGAGCTCCATTTGTCATTCCTTGTAGGGGACAAGGACGGAGTTCAAGCAGAATTAAAGCCAAAATCAAAAATGAGTTACATTGCAGCTTACAATTCTTAGATGTGGTGACTGCATAGTTTTCTTTTTTTAGGTGTTTTATTGTTAACTGGTGATCCAGCCAGTATGTCTGTTATTTTGCACCTTCCTTAAACACCAGGGTATTGAATTTATATTCATGGACAGTTGCAGCAGAAATCTGAATCTCGTGTTTGTGTTTGGACTCTGATCCTTCACTTTAACCCCCCCCCTTCACATCAGAGCCCTCTTTTACTTCAATGTCCTTGCCCCCCACTTCATATCACATTCCCCCTATTACATCATACTCACCATCTCCCCCATCAGTGTCCTCATCCCCCCTTCACATCACAGTCCCCCCTTTACATGAGTCTCCTCACCCCCCTCACATCAGTCCCCCCTTTTACATCAGTCCTCATCCCCCCTTCACATCACCATCCCTCCTTCACATTGCAGCCCCCCCCTTTACATTAGTGTCTTCATCCCCCCTTCACATCCCCATCCCTGCTTCACATCGCAGCCCCCCCTTTACATTAGTGTCTTCATTCCCCCTTCATATCACAGCCCCCCTTTACATTAGTGTCTTCATTCCCCCTTCACATCACAGGCCCCCCTTTACATCAGTGTCCTCATCCCCCCTTCACATCACAGCCCCCCCTTTACATCAGTGTCCTCATCCCCCCTTCACATCACAGGCCCCCCCTTTACATCAGTGTCCTCATCCCCCCTTCACATCACAGGCCCCCTTTACATCAGTGTCCTCACCCCCCTTCACATCACAGGCCCCCCTTTACATCAGTGTCCTCATCTCCCTTTCACATTACAGCCCCCCCTTTACATCAGTGTCCTCACCCCCCTTCACATCACAGGCCCCCCTTTACATCAGTGTCCTCATCTCCCTTTCACATTACAGCCCCCCCTTTACATCAGTGTCCTCATCCCCCCTTCACATCACAGGCCCCTCTTTACATCAGTGTCCTCATCTCCCTTTCACATTACAGCCCCCCCTTTACATCAGTGTCCTCATCTCCCCTTCACATCACAGGCCCCTTTTACATCAGTGTCCTCATCCCTCCTTCATATCACAGGCCCCCCTTTACTTCAGTATCCTCATCTCCCCCTTCACATAACAGGCCCCCCAATACTTCAGTGTCTTCATGCCCCCCTTCACATCACAGTACCTTCATCATATCAGGATCCTCACCCCTCCTTCACATCCTAGGCCCCCCTTTTACATCAGTTCCCTCATCCCTTCACTCCCCCCCATAAACCAGTGTCCTCGTCCACCTTTTTATCACACCCACCATCCCCTTACCAATGTCTTCAGTACCCCCTTTCACATCACAGCCCCCCCCTTTATATTCATGTCCTCATCCCCCTTTGCATTTTGCATCACAGCTCCCCCTTTACATCAGTCCCCCACCTTTATATCACACCTGCTACCCCCCCCCCCCCCCATCAATGTCCTTAAATCTAGTCCATCTAATTCTGCTAGTGCATCTAATGATGGCCATATACGCTTCAATTTTGTTATCTGATTGATGTGCAATTTGATTAAAATGATTGAATCAGAAACTGATCACATAATCTTAACTTCCCTTTCAATCAAATTAGACTCATTTCCAATCAGTCAGGGTGGAAAATTATCAATCGTTCTGCATCGAGCAGCAGCACTTTGCTGATGGGGTTGTCAATTTAATTTGTAATTTGATCAGATGATGAGATTGTATGGCAGAAAAAAAGGCACGATGGATAACTTAGAATCGTATCTTTCAAATATTGCTTGCAATACATGTTCCTGTGTAGTGTGTATCAATCAATTGTGGTGTTAACTATTGATTGATTATTCCTATGAGGAAAGATTGATCGGAAAAGAAATCAATCATTTTTATAAGCATGGGCCACCATAACACCATCCTCTCAGCAGATTGCTAATGCTGCTGTCTAAAGGTGTCTCCGGGGCTCCTCTATCCAAAGTGGAGACACCCCAGGATAGGAAGTGTGCTACTGGCCAGATCACCAGGTGATGATAAAGGAAGAAAAAGCCTAAGAAAATGGAAATATAATGCATCCACCACATCTAATGATTGGTAAGTCGAAATATATTCCATTTTTGTGTTTAACTGCCTCCCACCCGCCATATAAGGAAATGACGGGCGCAAGGCGGTTCTCTCATTCTGGGAGGACGTCATATGACGTCCTCCCACTCTAACCACGCATGTGCGGCTGTGGTGGTGCCCAGTGCTGTGATCGGTGGTGCGCTGTGTCCCTCGGATATCACCGATCAACGGAAAGAGCCGAAGATATCGGCTCGGTCATGCGATCAGCTGTGTCCAATCACAGCTGATCTCATGTAAATAGGGAAATGATGGTTATTGGCATTTCTCTCCTCACAAGCTGTCACACTGACAACTCGTGAGGAGTGGAAAGCCAGTAATCGGCATCCCTCAGAGGGGACATGTACACTGATCATCAGGGCACTGATGATCAGTGTGCCCTGATGATCAGTGTAGCCCCAGCAGTGCCACCTGTCAGTGTTCATCAATGCCAGCTGTCAGTGCTCATCAATGCCACCTACCAGTGCCCATCAGTGCACATCAATGCCACATATTAGTGCCCAACTGAGCTGCCTTTCAGTGTCACCTTTCAGTGCCAGTCAGTGCCACCTATCAGTGTGCATCAGTGCCAGTCAGTGCTGCCTATCAGTGCCACCTAACAGTGCCAGTCAGTGCCACATATCAATGCTGCCTATCAGTGCCATATATGAGTGCTGCCTTTCAGTGCCTATCAGTGATGCCTGTCAATGCCCATCAGTGCCACCTACCAGTGCCTCCTCATCAGTGCCCATCAGTTCCACCCAGGGGCAGACTGACAACTCATGGGGCCCCTGGGCAATAGGGAATCATGGGGCCCCTGTGTCCTCACCAACACCCAAAAAAGCCTATGAAAAAGCCAATGAAAGGTACCAGGGGCATCTCATGGGGCCCCCTACTGACCCTGGGCCCTCGGGCAGTGCCCGAGTGTTCCAATGGTCAGTCCGCCCCTGGTTCCACCTATCAGTGCTCATCACTGCAGCCTCATTAGCGCACATCAGTGAAGGAGAAAAATCACTTATTTACAGAATTTTATAACAAAACCTTTTCAGTTGTTTTTGGTTTGTTTAGCAAAAAATAAAAAACCCAGAGGTGATTAAATACCACCAAAAGAAAGCTCTATCTGTCTCAAAAAAATGATAAAAATTTCATATGGGTATAATGTTGCCATGTCATTCAAAGTGAGATAGCGCTGAAAGCTGAAAATTGGGCTGGGCAGGAAGGGGGTATAAGTGCCCTGTAGGCTAGTGGTTAATATCACTTTAATTTTCCCAGAGTCTAATCATATTTGAACTTTTAATACCTGGGAAATGCTTACACTCCTGATATTTCCCCAACTCCCCCCCTCCCCCATGAGGGTCCTAAAAAATATGTAAATAAAATAATAGTAAAAAATAAATAAATAAAATAGTAAAAAAGTAAAACAACAGAAATAAAAAACTACTGACACCTGTGGTGGAACTACATCTGCTACCTCCACTCTTAACCAGACAAACGCATTGACTCCTGTTAAATTCTCACCAAATGTTGTAATTATATCTGTGTATCTGTTGACTTGTCCTCCCTCTAGGCGCACTCAGGTTTATGACTGTGGCCTGGTTCCTAAGAATCATCCCCCCCTATTCATGTGAGCCTTATCAGCTTCTAATTGGGGCGGAGTTGAATGCTCATTTGAGCATCTCCCTATAAATTTAGTTCAGCTCATGGGGGAGATCTCTGATGGGGGGCACAGTCTCTGATGGGGGTGCTGCTTATGATGGAGTGCGGCTTTGAATGAGTGCAGAGCAGTTAAACACAGCAGTTGAACTAAAGCAGAGAACTTAAGCAGAAAGACACAACAACAGCAAGAAACTCTACTGCATGCTGGACAGACTGCAAGGAAACACCCTGGGAAACATCTCTTACATACCTGAGTCCCACTCCGTGTACCTTTTTATATAATACACCCCTCTTCTGCTCTTCATATTACTATCCTCTGTTCACAAATCTCATTTCTTTACCCCTCTGCTCCACCCCAAAACTTGTACATCTCCCCCTCATTGCTATCATCTCCCTACTATTGCTTTCATCACCTCCCCAAAATGCCTCTTCCACTCCTCCTTCTCATTTTCCTCTCCTCTGTTCCCAAAATCCATTCACTATATCCCTCTGCTCCTCCCAAACATTTGTATATTGTGCCCTCACTGCTTCCCTCACCCCTCTATGGCACCCACCACCTCCTCCTATTACTCCACTCTCCCACTGACCCCAACACCTCCACTAGTAGTTTCTCACGCTCCTGCACATCCCGCTCCCATGCCACCTTTCTCACCCTTCTCCTCCTCATAACCGCGGGGGACATCTCCCCGAATCCTGGCCCTCCACCACCTCCCTCACCCGCACAAAACCCTCCCGCCTCCACGTCCTGCCGCAACCCCCGCAACTTAGTATCTGTCCCCCTGCTCCCTAAAATCTCCCCCCCGTTTTCATGTGCACTCCTGAACGCCCGATCGGTGTGCAACAAGCTTACCGCCATCCACGACCTCTTTGTTTCCCGCTCCCTCAACCTCCTGGCGATTACGGAAACCTGGATCCAGCCCACTGGACTCTACCTCCCCTGCTGCACTCTCCTACGGCGGTCTCACCTGGACCCACTCACCCAGGCCCAACGGTCGTAAAGGTGGTGGGGTTGGCCTGCTCCTGTCACCGCTGAGCACCTTCCGAGTCCTCCCAAACCCCCCCTCCCTATCCTTCTCCTCCTTCGAGGCCCACTGCGTCCGACTATTCTCCCCAACCCCCCTGAAGATTGCTGTGATATACCGGCCTCCTGGATCCATACCCCGCTTCCTGGAAGACTTCTCCTCCTGGCTACCCTTCTTCCTCTCCTCTGAGCTACCCACTATCATCCTTGGGGATTTCAACATCCCTGTCAACCTCGACAACCCGGACACAGCCCGTCTCCTCCACTTAACCTCCTCCTTTGCACTTGCACAGTGCATACAATCCACCACCCACTCCGACGGTAATATCCTTGATCTTGTCTTCTCCAACCGCTGCGCTCCCCACAACCTCACTAACACCCCCTTCCCTCTCTTGACCACAACCTGATTACTTTCTCTATCTCCTCATCCTCCAATGCCTACCCTCCAAATGTCACACTACTACCAGCCGTAACCTCCGCAACCTTAACCCTGCCTCCCTCCACTCCGCAGTTGATCAACTCCATGACCGCATCCTCCCCCTGTCCTGCCCCGACTTGGCTATGACCGCCTACAACAATGCGCTGTCAACAGCCCTTGACTCACTAGCGCCTTTAACCACACGCAACATCAGACCCCGACCGCTCCAGCCCTGGCAGACTGATCACACCAAAACCCTCAAACGACACAGTCGTGCCCTGGAGCGACTATGGCGCAAAACCAAATCCCAACAAGCCTTCACCCGATACAAATCTGCCTTCCACACCTACACCTCCTCCCTCCATACTGCCAAACAAGCCTACTTCCTGACCCTCATCAAGGCCCTCTCCTCCAATCCTCGCCGACTCTTCTCCACCTTCAACTCTCTACTCTCGCCACCCCCACCTCCACCCAGCAGCACCTCACTCACTGCCCTTGAGATTGCCAATCACTTCAAAAACAAGATTGACACAATTCGCAAGGACATTGCCGCAACTCACACGCCTTCTCAACCCGTCCCCTCTCACACAGCTACCCCCCTCATCCCCCCTCCCCCTCGACATAACCCACAGGGACTTCGTCGCTGCTCAAACTCCCTCCAACCCCCTTCCCCCTCACTCAGCTACCCCCTCTACACCCCTCTCCCACGCCCCCCCCACCACTGCTCTGACCTCCTCTCCCACCCCACCCTACATTCCTCATACTGAAGCTCCCCCAACACTCCGCACCTTTGACCTTACTACCATCGAAGAAGTCTCCAAGATCCTCTCTGATGCCCGCCTCACCACCTGCCCCCTTGACCCTATCCCCACACAACTCCTACAACCTCCCTCCCCCTCCATCCTACGCTCCCTCACCCACATCTTCAATCTCTCCCTCTCCTCCGGCACTTTCCCTTCCCCTCTGAAACATGCACACATCACCCCCATACTTAAAAAGCCCTCCCTGGACCCCAATGACCCGAACAACCTCAGACCCATCTCCCTGCTCCCATTTACATCTAAACTCCTCGAGCGCCTAGTCTACGCCCGCCTATGCTCTCACCTCAACGACAACAACCTCCTCGATCCCCTACAGTCCGGCTTCCGTCCCCTACACTCCACCGAAACTGCCTTACTCAAACTCTCCAACGACCTGCTAACCGCCAAAGCTAATGGCCACTATTCAGTGCTCCTACTCCTTGACCTCTCTGCGGCCTTTGACACAGTCGACCCACCCCCTCCTCCTCAAAAAACTACACTCCCTCGGCCTCAGAGATTCTGCTCTCTCCTGGCTCTCATCCTACCTGTCACAACGCTCTTTCAGCGTTACCTATAATGCCACCACCTCCCTCTCACTCCCCCTCTCTGTTGGGGTCCCCCAAGGCTCTGTCCTCGGGCCCCTTCTCTTCTCCATCTACACCTCCTCCCTTGGCCAACTCATACACTCTCACGGCTTCAACTACCACCTCTATGCCGACGACACACAAATCTATCTCTCAACCCCCCACCTCACCCCCTCGGTCTCCGCCCGAATCACACACCTGTTGAGCGACATATCAGACTGGATGTCGCTCCACTTCCTTAAACTGAACCTCTCCAAAACCGAGTTTCTTGTCTTCCCTCCAGCCCGGACACCACCCCCCATTGACTTCTCCATCATGTCCAACAACGCCACCATCAAACCCGCCCCGCAGGCCAGAGTACTTGGTGTCATTTTGGACTCCAACCTATCCTTCCAGCCCCAAGTCCACTCTTTAACAAACTCGTGCAGACTCCACCTCCGCAACATCGCCAAAATCCGCACGTTCCTAACTCCAGAAACCACTAAACAGCTCATCCACTCCCTCATCATATCGCGACTCGACTACTGCAACTCCCTCCTCACTGGCCTGCCTCGCCGCTGGCTATCCCCGCTTCAGTCCATCCTGAATACGGCTGCCAGACTCATTCACCTTTCCAACCGCTCCGTTTCCGCCACCCCCCCTCTGCCAATCCCTCCACTGGCTTCCGATTGCGCAACGGATCAAATTCAAAATCCTAACGCTGACGTACAAAGCTGTCCACCATACTGCCCCGAACTACATCACTGACCTAATATCCAAGTACCGCCCAGCACGCACACTCCGCTCCTCACAAGACCTCCTTCTCTCTAGTTCCCTGGTCTCCTCCTCCCATGCCCGCCTCCAGGACTTCTCCAGGGTGTCACCCATCCTCTGGAACTCCCTGCCCCAACCCATCAGATTATCACCTACTCTCCTCTCCTTTAGGCGCACCCTGAAAACCCATCTCTTCAGGGAAGCCTACCCCGCCCCCTGCTAACTTGCCGAATGTTTTGCATTGTATTGGTATTGTTCTGTCACATGTTCTGTCCCCCTTTGTAATGTACAGCGCTGAGCGAACTATTGGCACTTTATAAATACTGAATAATAATAATAATAATAATACCCGGCCTCATACCATTCTGAGTTGCTGCAATGAAATTTCAGCAAAATGGACTAG